GCACAGGGTGGTACCCGACAACGAGTACTACCACCCCGCACCTTCACAAAAACCCCTCCCCCACCCCGAGAGCGCGAAAGAACGGTTCGCGGAACCCGTTCATTCGCGTCCAACGCGCGTTTGAACGCGGATTGAACGCGAATTGAACGCGCGTTCAATTTTTTTACGCGGACTCCGCGTTAAATCGAATTTCGGACACATAGCTCTCGCGCACTTGTTTTTTTTTCTTTTTTTTTTCTTCGATTGATTGATTGATTGATCGATTGGTGGGAGGGGGTGGTGACAAGAGTACCGACCGGAGGGACCGAATTGTGGAGGGAGGTGCCGCCGCGGTGCCGGTAGAGCGCTCGCGGCCCTGCGCCGTCGGACAGCCCTGGTCTCACAGCGCTGCCCGACCGTTGAGCGGTACTGGCGCTACCGTAACGCTAGTTACTGCGGGGAAGTCGACGAACCATGGCCATGGCCATGGCGGCGTGAGTTCCTCACGCCTGTCCCCTTCACCACAATGAAATTTCCCCCCCTTGGTTACCATGCACCTCCACCAAGAACAGTGGCAACGCGTTCTGCTAGTGTTCGATTCGGCCAGGCCGAACACAGAAAGGACTCCATCAGAACAGCGAACTACTCGACGAGGAAGACACTCCAGAAAATCAGCAAAAAAGGGAGGCGCAACTACTGGCAAAATGCTCGGTTTTTGTGTTAGCCGGACCCCCACTGGCGGCCCCAACCCTGCACCCTTAACCACTAGGGCAAGGGGCAACATGCAATATCCCCTTCACAGTGAGAGGTAGCTATGCTTGCAGGGGTCGGGACCCCACAGCCCTCCGCGGAATGCCTGGAAGGCCCGTTGTTTTTCCGCGGAATGGTTTTCCGGGACCCCACAGGCCGATATCGCCGGCGTGGAAAACCGGGGATTGGCGTTTCCACATGGTTTCCGGGCTGGAAAAGTCCCGCGGGAGCGATTTCCGCCGCGAAATTGTGCAGGGTAGCAAGGGTGGTAGGGGGCGACGTCGGTGATGTTTCCAAGGTTGCGGACGGGTGCCGGACTTTCGTTTGGCCTGGACCCCACAGCTTTGCGGATGGAAAACCGGTTTTCCCACGATAAGCGGGCAAAGTTTTTTGGAAAGCTCGGAAGACAGTTTTCGGGGATCCCACCGCGGACGCAGTTTTGCAGCAAGAGCGAGTGGGTTGTGTGTGGTGTGTGGGAGAGTGTTGGCCATAGCCTCTGCTGCTACTCGATGAGGGGTGGGGGACGATGAGAAAGGGAGGCGCAGCTACTGGCAAAATGCTCGGTCTTTGTGTTCGCCGGACCCCCACCGGTGGCCCCAACCCTGCACCCTTAACCACTAGGGCAAGGGGCAACATGCAATATCCCCTTCACAGTGAGAGGTAGCTATGCTTGCAGGGTCCCCTCTACATAGCCGTAGGAGTAGGTATGTAGTGAAAGATGATGAAAAATATTTGAGAGAAGAATATAGTGTAGTTTTAGTATAGTAAAAAAAAAAAAAAAAAAAAAAAAAAATGGCGTTGTAGATCTCAAAAARATCTACAACCCTTTTTTTTTTTTTTTTTTTTGCTTATTTACATTATTTTTTACCCGAGAAACAAATATTCCTGCGCCCGCTCAAACCCCGCTCAAGCGCCTTTGAGCGCGGGATTGAGCGGCCCTCAAAAACTTGAGCTGCGCGCTCAATACGCACGCTGTTACACAGCCCAGAACGGCTGTGTGCCCGAGAAGGGCCTTGCGAGGGCTCAATCCTCGCACTACCAACAGACATAAAAATGAAAAAAAATTGCGGCGTTAGACATCCCAATGCACTTCGTTTTCTCTTTTTTTTCCTCTTTTTCTCCTTATCTTCGACAGCAGGCATCTCTCCATTAGTCACCAAATGTGCAAAATGAGAATGAATCTTCGGCTAGAACATGGCAAGATACACCGCCGTGTCTTTTGTGCATGTGGTGAGTAGTGGAACAAGGGAGTCCTGCAGTCTTCTGAAAGGTAAATGGAGTACTGGAGGGGGTTGGAATTGACCCGAAAAAAAGGCGGTCAATACGGACCCCTTCGAGTACTTGTTTTTTTTTTTTTTTTTTTTTGAAAAAAAGGGCCCAGTGCCCAAGGCTCCCATTACGAAATTGATTACAACGCTTATACACACGCCTCTTCCCATTAGGGCTGGAAGAGCCTCAGCCACTGCTCCCCTGGAGACAGCTTCCCTGTAAAACCCGAGTATAGCAAAGTTATGTGGCATTGATTGCTTCCCCAGTGAGGAAGGATTAACCCCGTTGTAGAAAAAATCCATTTCGACCCTACGAGGCTCCCCAATCATCCATTTCTACTCCACGAGACTCCCCAATCATCCCTACTTCAGTGTTCTACACGGCGAGGAGCAGGGGAGATACAAGCAGGGCAGAGAGAACGAGAACAGGGCCAGAGAGTTTAGTAATTCCTCGGTGCATGCAGTGGGCCTCCCCTAACCAACAGCAATTACTACCGTCGCAAACCAAAGAGGAGCCCAGTAGTCGGGAGAAAATTTGAATCCATGCAAAGATCTTCAAACCAGTTGAACATAGCCCCGTTCCCCACTGATTGCAACAAGCTTCGGAATCCCCTGAAGATACAAGCAGGGCAGAGAGAGGATGAGAACAGGGCCTGAGAATTTCGTAATTCCTCGATGCATGCGACAAGCTTCCCCTAACCAACACCAAACACCGTCAACGCAAATTGAAATCTATGTAAGACCTTCAGACCAATTGAATATAGTCCCGTTCCCCAGTGATCACAACAAGCTTCTCCTGGAACACAACAATTATCACAGGTGCAGACCAATGGGGAGCCCACTAATTGGGGGAGATTTCAAATCTATACATGAAGACCGTGTCAAACCCTAACTGATGATGACCATGAGTTGAATATAGCCCCATGAGATGGGCTAAAATCAAGCACCACAAGAGAGGAAGAAAACACCAAACAGATGAGGGAAAAAAGGGAGAGAAAACAACCAAGAATACATCCCACACCCCTTCTGCACAACCTCCCTTCTTCCTCCCGAATCCCACGGGATCAACTCATCATTCTTCCACCCGTCACCACTCCCCCAGATCAGCATCAACTCACACACGACAGAATTTTCATGCGAGAGGGTGGGAAGAGATCAAATAGCCCTCACCGTAGTAGCTCATCTAGCCACCAATTTTGGTTGGACAGCCGTTGTGTAGATCGGTGTGAGCAAAACAGTCATGGACGGAAATTGAATTACAGATGTCATCGTCAAAACCGCTGTCGTCGCCAGTGGAAAAATTGTTGATGTTGACGATGTCGTCGTGGACGGTACTGCTGATGTGGATATCTTTGACAGGCTTATCACAGTTGTCGGAGTTGCTGCGTGTTTTTTTCTAATCT